ATTTGCACGAGGAGCTGAAGAGGTTGGCGACGGAGCCTGAGGGTGGTGTGAATGGTCATGTCAATGGCAATGGCGTTGAGGAGGTAAAGAGGACCGAGACGAATGGTGCTAATGGATATGAGAAGTCGAGGGCTGGATTAGGGCGGCCTGCGACCATCCATTTGAAGAGCGAGATTGTGGCATATGTAAGTGGCGACTGTCCATATCACCCTCGTAGAGTCTGGCTAACACGTCTCTAGGCTCCCGAGGGAGCTTCAATAACACTGGCTTCCGGCGAGAAAGTCACAGGCGACGTGGTGATTGCGGCAGACGGCGTCCACACCATTGGAGTCGAGGCGATCCTCGGCCGCTCTAACCCCGCGGTGCCTCAAGGGCACTACAACTTTTGCTTCCGTTTCCTCATACCAGCTGCCGATGTCGAGGCGGACCCGGTCACGCGCTTCTGGAACGAGGGCGACGATGGGCGGATGAAGTTCCTGGTTGGAGACAAGAAGCGTCTAGTCTCGTACCCTTGTCGAAAGTAAGTCCCAATCTTCTACACTACGGTAGTAGTTGCGGGATGAGTAGGAAGCACGTGTTATTCGCCTGTGTGCTAACTCGAGTAGCAATGAGATCCACAACTTTGTGGCCATCTTCAACAACGACGATATTGAGAGTACCAAAAAGGAGGACTGGCACGCCTCTGTAAGCAAAGAAAAGCTGCTGGAGAGATACTCCGAATTCCACCCAAGCGTCTTGGCCATTCTTGAGTAAGAAACCTCACTTCGTGAATACACGATCAGTACTCACACCGTGCTTAGCAAGGCTACTGAGGTGAAGCAATGGGCACTCCTCTACAGAGCCCCAATCCCTACATGGACGAAGGGGAAGTTGACGCTGGCTGGCGATGCCGCGCACCCCATGCTACCACGTGAGTCTCAACGACAGCATATCCGGTCATACTCCCATGCCCATCTACCGATTGCTAACAGATGAGCTACGCCAGACCAGGGCCAAGGCGGTGCGCAAGGTATCGAAGACGGCGTGGCTCTCGGCATCGCGCTGGCCGGCGCCGAGGTTCAAGACGTTGAGTCTCGTCTGCAAGTGTATGAGAGCATTCGGAGAAACCGCGCCAGCGTGATGCAGGTTTTCAGTAACGCTGGTCAAGAGGAGCCCGAGTTGATACGGGAAGAGGCGGCCAAGTTCATTCCCGCGGACAAAGTGCCTAGTAAGTGCAAGCTCTGTGAAGGCTTCTGATAGTGAAGGTGCTTGTGTGAAGAAGCCGCTGACAGAACGTGTTGCAGAAAACCCGGAAGAGTTCTTTGCGTATAACTTTGGGTACGATATCATCAGGGATAGCGTCCAGCAGGTGCAAAAGGTCGAGCCGTCGTTTAGTCTGCCGCCTACGTTTTTCCAGAATGAGCCAGGTAAAGGCGTCTATCCCTGAAGCTCGAATAGGGCGAGTTCATCCGGGCCAAGGGTGATCAACGGTGCGTCCCTGTCCATAGGCTTGGAAGGTTGGGAAACGACACCCCTCAAGAGGGTATTTAATACAAATGAATCAATTGGACGTTGTTGGAATGGCCCTCATGGTTCTAGAAGCAAAGTTTCGTATGGTTTGGAATGTTTCTGGAATTCTTCCAAAAGTGGCTGGGGGTTCTGTGATGACGCACCTGGAGGAGCTGCCCCTCATGCCCCCCCCCCCCCCCCCCCCTCCCTGGAGCTAACGGGCCGTCCCAGGTTTGACACGAAAGCTGAAGCCTGAGGGATAATGTCATCGCTTTGACCTTGAGGGGTTTTCAAGGCAGCGCCAAGGACTCGGTGCATGAGAATCTCTTCCGGTACAACTACAACTCTAGATAGTAGTACCTAGTACTGGTGAAAAGGTGTCAAGGTGAAGTTGAAGATCGCCAAGTCTTTGGTTCTTGGGAGCGGCTATCCGGAAGCGGCTCCACCGCAACATCCCCCGCCAATCGCCGCCAGGGTCGGGTACAACTGCAGCTGCATCCATCCGACGGGCAAAAAAGACACAGGAATTCGCTGACCGACTGAGCACACTCTTTGTCTCTCCCAGCTTTTTTTTTTATTCCCTCGCTCAGACTCGACTTGCTGTAGTCAGTTCCTGTTCGCACCCTGTCTTTTGCGTTGGAATTTGATCGTCCGGCAGTCTCTTCATTTCTCAGACCCTGCCTTCATTCCTCGACCATCCACCCCTCACGCCTCCTCATACAGCTTCTCACTCAAGTCTGCCTTTCGACCATGGCGAGATCTTCCTCCTACTCAGATGCTCCCACACGGGACTCTGGATATCGCGAGCCCTATGGCTACCCAACCTCATCCGCGCGGGACTCGAGATGGGACGTCGCCGAGTACTCCCTCAGACCGGCCGCCAGAGGTCAAGACTCTTCCTCCTCCGCCAGGCAGCGCTCACGATCCCGCTCCCGTGACGCCAGACCCTCCCGCGACACAAAGCACCGCAAGAAGCGACGCAGCGGTGGCGGAAGCGGAAGCGGCAGCTCATCATCGTCAAAGGACCCCCCAGAAGCCACCAAAGGAAACGCCATCGTGAGCTCAAACAGCAACGCGGCCTCCTTCACACCAGCCGCCATGTTCAGCAACCTCCAAAACGCCTTCCACGCCTTCCAGTCCATCCCGAACCTCTCCACCTCAACCTTTGAACTGGGCCCCCTCCCCGACACCCCCGTGACGAACCTCATCAACCCAAAGAACCTCCACCCGCCCCCCTCCCAGGCCGTCCTCCACGACCGCCTCGCCACGAACCTGCCCCGCCACAGCAACGTCTACCTCATCCTCCTCGTCGGCACCCTCCTGGCGACCCACTGGCTCGTCCTCGCCGCCCTCTTCGGCGTCGTCAAGTTTGGCTTCTTCATCCAGTCTTACAACGGCCGCGACCTCGCCCGCGACCTCGGCGTGCGGAAGTACGCCTCCACCCAGAGCATCATGTCCGGCTTCACCGCCTTGGCCGCCATCGTCGGCCTCTGGGCCTTTTCCTCGCTGTTCGGCGTCGTCTTCACCCTCGTCAAGGTCGCCGGCCTCGTCCTCGTGCACGCCGCGTGCTTTGACGTATCAGCCGCAGGCGGCGGTCGGCCGACGGGAGCTGCTGCTGCTGCTGCTTCGGCACCTTCACCCGTGCCAGGCCAAGGGTTCCTGAGACCGCCTGCGGTGCCCGCGGGCTGGGGCTTGGTCTCACGGGAGGCGACGAACGTGGCACAGCTGAGATCTGCGAGCGAGGGCCAGCTCAGGTCCGCCAGCGAGGGGAACCTCAGCGGCAGCGGCAGCGGCGGCGCACCGCCGTACCCGAGCGGGAATGGATGGTACGCGGGCGAGGGGCACACTGGGCCCCCGACGCCAGAGACGTACGCCGAGATGCCGCGGACGCCGCGATCCTTTGAGGCATATGCTCCCGGTCCCCGAAGGGAGGAGCACGATGCCGGGGATTTGGCATATGGGTATTACGACTCTGCTCGGCCCCAGAGCTATGCATCAGGCAGGTCGTACTAAAAGGACCACGTAGCTCTGGCATGATCAAAAAGCAGATTTGACGAAGTGATGTTCAAGCTTAGATCTGATAGATAAAAATAGCACGTCACTGGTTCACAGTCCCAGGCATGCCATGTCCATATTCCACGACGTTACAAGAATCCTCCTAGTTCGAGTGCGCAGTTGTGGCATTGACAGAAGACCGAATTGGCCAATCAAAACTTGTCCTGCTAACCCGGCTCTCACGCATCGGAGCCCAATAGCTCACAGCCTGCGGCGAAGATGCAAGGAATCGGGTGCCCGTAAAGGCAAGTTTAGACATGGTTGTGCGAAAATCACATTTGGCAGGAAAAGATGTTAGCCACGTTTGTGGACCTCGACGTCCACGGTGTAATGGATGCCGCGGTGAGTATTGGACTAAAGAAATCAATCTTCCTTGAACCAAAATAGAGAAAGACCATGGGAGAGCATTGGTGTATCTCGGAGTGTAGTCAAGGTGTGCATCACTGCCATTTTTTTTTTTTGAGAAACATGTTGTTTTTTCTTCCTCGCGCCCAGAGAAACAAGCTCCAGCGCGCAACGAAAAAAGAGAAAAAAGAATCAGAGCCTGTCAGACGTCCATCGACACCCACCCCTTCCACGCGCCCAAAGGCAAGACCGTGATAGGGGACGAGATCATCACCGCCCTCTATACAGCACCCCTCACAAGGAGAACATGCCGCTTTCCTTGCGGAAAGAGCGAGGGCAACCAGAGTTCACTCTAGGGTGTCGAGGATATCAATCATCAACCAGGGTGGGATCTGTAGCTCCTTTAGGGAACCAAGAGTAGGTCGAATACTATAGAAATGATTCACTGAAGTATTGTCGACATGAAGAAAAAAGAAGAAGAGAAAATCCCAAGAGCTGCGGTCGGGAGGCGACCTTTTATAGAGGTTGGAGAGGTGCGGGAGTGGGTCTTTGGTGGGGGACGGCATCAGTAAGTGCTGCAAGGCTTTGGGCCAATGAGAATTCGGGTTGGTGAAAATTGATAGGTGGATGAGTACGTACCTGGGCTGGAGATGTAAAAAATCTGCATCGTGAAGATGGAAAGAGCGGGTTCGGAACGGGAAAGATGCCTGGGAAGATGTTGGTGAATCAGGCATCAAGACGTCGGAAAACTTCTCTTCTTCATATACCGATTTGACGCTGAGAGAAGCTGTCTGGCGGTTGAGAGTAGCGTCAATCAAAGGGGGAATGGGTCAGGGAGATCGTCCGGATGCCGATGGGAGCCCCTTTGAGGTATGGTATGCACTGTTGCATCAACAGCTCAGTCCCAAGGTAGATAAATCACATCGTCAAACCCCGGGTACATCTCTGAAGCTGTGGCACATGGCTGAGTGTCGAGATGTTTCGTGACCGGCCGCCCGTGTGGATTTGAAGGAAGGAAACACGCCCACCTACCAAGTCGAGAGATAAAGATTGAACAGATTGATGGAGGCACTCAACGGCTGTGATAATAGCTATTTCGAGAAGCTGCACTCCTAGATGGCCTGCTGCCGTTTGAAGCCAACGAGGTTCCCTGGCTCGATGATGTCCATCAGGAGGACGATGAGTCCATGTGCCCATTCGCCAATATCAACGACGTCTCTGCGAACTTGCCTCATATCCTCGATCATGTTAGCGTGCAGCAGAATCTGCCCAGAGGCCTACGTAGACGAAGCAGCACACGAAGCCCTCATCACCCGCTTCCTGATCTCAGAAAGTCAACATCCCCCTGACATCAAACTCCACCACCGCATTCACTCACGATACAACCCTTCGCCAAGCACCCATCCCTTCACCCTCGCACTAACCAACCGTCCCAACATCTCCTCATCCCTCGCCGAAGCAGCCTCGCGCACCTTGGTACTACTAACAACCTCCTCCCCCTCATCCCTCCCCCTAACCATCTCAACCCTCTCCGCCCACGCCCGCCGTCCACCAACATCCTCCAGCCCACCATCCCTCAAACTCTTGAGGTACGCGACCTGCTCCCCCTCACCACCCCACTCATCATCCGTCCTCATCGTGATGCGCAACCTAGACCTGTCCAGAAACGGATCCAGCGCCCTTCGAATCGGTGCCTCTGCCTCCTCCACTGCTGTCCCTCCCGGTAACGAAGAAGAAGAAGAAGCATGGTAGTACTTTGGGTTAAAGATCCGGATAAGAGTATCATATCCCGCCAAATACACCTGCTCCGGCTCCCCTCCCCCATCCCCTCGCGCATAAAACCTCGTGTCCGAAATAGCCTGACTCTTATCGTGGAAATACGGCATCGTCGTCAACCCCAAGTCGACCTCAACATCCTCCTCGGCCCCATCTACCCCCCTCCGCCGCACCTCATCCCTCAAATCCCTAGCAAACGCATACATCATCCCCAACCTAACCTCAAACGCCGCAGGCTTAGGCTTCTTGTCCGCGTTATTCACAGCAAGCAGAAGCAGCAACCTCACAGCCCTCCTCTGGCCCAGCTCCCCAGCCGCACCCGACGACGAATCTCCAGCTCCACCGCCCCTCGTCGTCGCGGTCGTACTCCTCCCCTTCTGCAAATCTCTCACCGCAGACGCCGCCATGCGTAGATGCGCAAGTGTAGGCGGGTTAAACGAGGAATCCAGCACGACGAGGCTGCTCTCCACCGGCCCCGCCTTCACGTCGTTCCGGTTCGGCCTCCGCGGCGCCGGCGCCGGTGTCGATATGCTGAACTCTCCGGCAGCCTCTCCGGCATTTTCTCCGCGGGGAGGAAGTGTGCAGACAACGCGAAACGCATCCTTTGAGGATTGAAACGCCGCCAGGCTCCGGGCGAAGAAGTCGACGAGGGCTTTGCGGCTGTTCATGGCCGGGTCTAGGTCCGTGGTGTTGGGTGACATTTGTGAGGGGGTGCGGAAGTGAAGTTGGCGCAGTGAGGTGCCGAGTATATGTGAAAGTGAGGTGAGACATCCGGCTCAAGTGACGGAACGCAGGCTCGGAGAGAGAGTTACGCTACGGTGTGTGCCATCTGTGTTTACCCCGCTACGTGGGGGTCAATTCAAGGTGTCTAGCATCCATTCTAAGCTCACGCATACCATGTGGGGAAGATCAAGTTGAGTACCTTACTTGAAGACTTTACTTTAGCGCGAGTAGATGAGAAGATGGAAGCAGATTCGAAGGGGTATTGTTTTTTGACAGGAAAACAAATCTATCAGTATTCGACAGACAACTAGAGTATCGTACAGCCAAGTTCCCTTTCCACAACAAAACCAACAAACATAATTCCTCATCAGGCCTGCTTCGTCCCTCAAGCTCTCCTCTGCTTCGCATTGACAAACATCTGCGACGTGACCAGTCCCAACCCGAAAAACACGACAATGCCCAAAAAGTTGAGCACGGCGTTCAACAGGGGCGGCATCTTGGGCTCCGCCAACATCTCGTCCTGCAACCTTTCAATCCGCTCCGCCATCTTCTCCTGCCCGAAACCCGTACGCACCCTCTGCACGCCGGCCTTGCCCATCTTTTCCAAATCGCCCCGGCTGAGGCTGTTGAGCACCTTGTCCATGACCACGGTCCACTCCAGCACCTCGTCCGGCGCCCGCAGCCAGCCCGTCACGCCGTCCATGACCGTCTCCTTGGGCCCACCCGTGTTTGCCGCGAGGACGGGCACGCCCGCCAACATGGCCTCGAGGGGCACGATGCCGAAATGCTCGTTGGAGGGCGTATAGACGAGTAGCTTGGCCGATCGGAGGAGCGAGTCTTTCAAGCTCGACGGGATGGAGAGGAGGAACAGCACCGGGATGTGCTCAGGCGCAGACAAGGCGGTGATGATGTTCTTGGCCGTGAACGTCTCCAACCCGAGCGACGCGGCAAGCTTCTCGAGCTCCTTGTGGTACTGGCAGTTCTCGATGCTGCGCGGGTCGTATCCGCCCGCGAGGACCAGCCGGACGCCCTTTCTCTTGTCCGCAGGCAGCGCTGCGAAAGCCTTGACGGCGAGCGCGATGTCCTTCTTCCTCTCGAAGCGGTTGATGCTCAGAATAATGTTCCTGTCCGTCCAAATGGCTTCCTCTTCCTTGTTGCCGTTGCCAATCGCATTCTTCTCGCTCTCCTTCTTGGGCGCAATGTCGACGCAGGGGTACACGACCTTGAAGTTCTTGCGCTTGGCGAGCTTCGGCCACGCGCCCGTGGCCATGCCCTTCGTGAAGCCCGAGTTGACGGCAATCTCGTCGGCGAAGCCCATGCTCCACTCCTCGACCCAGTCAAAGGGCACGCGGTAGAGGCGCTTCCACCACTTTTCGCGGCCGAGGGCGAGGTACATGTCGGGGAAGTGGCAGTAGAAGAGGATGGGCGCCTTGGGGGCGAGGTACTGCAGCAGCGGCAGGCCCGCGCTGAGCTGGTCGACGAAGAAGGTGTCTGGGTTCAGGGACTGGAGTTCGCGGGTGGCGTAGATCTGGACGAGGAGGTGGAGCTGACGCAGGATGGCGCAGAGGATCGTGAGGCGGCCGAGGATGGAGGGAGGGACGATCCAGTTGCCGCGGACGCGGACGTCGAGGGTTCCTGGTAGAGAAATAAGTCAGGGTATGCTCATTCATATGCGAGAGGCACGGGTAAAAGAAACAGGCATACCATCTCGAGCTTCTTCAAAGCAGTGGCTCTTGTCGCAATGGCTGGTGAAGATGACCACCTTGTGGCCTCGATTCTGCAAGCCGACAGCGGCATCGACAACGAGACGCTCAGCACCACCGATGCCAAGGTCGGGGTGAAAGAAGACGACGGTCCTCTGATCGTCGTCTTTCTCCGCCATGGCCGTGATTCGTCTCTGGCAAGTATTCGAGGTGTGCTAAAGGAAGGAGAAGCGAGTCCCAATCTGTTTTATTGTCTCTGGCTTTCTTTCCTGCAAGAGGACAGAGGTGCGACTTGTGAGACGTGGACGACCTGACCTGACACTGGAGCCAGCGGGGACCACTCAGTGGGAGTTACGACGCGACAGCGGCCAGCAGGGCAGTTGGAATTGGGGTAGCTCTGTCAATGGCAGGTGCTGATTGGCTACCGCAAAGTGGCATGCTGCCTTACGTAAGGAGCAGCTCTGCAGGGGACAAGGAGGCACTGGTGGGATCCACTTAGCTAAGGTAAGCGAGTTGTGGATGGCCAGGACGATTCTGGGGTGCATCAGAAGCCGCAGGAGCTTGGCGGTCCTCCATTTGGGGCCGCTCTTTCTTCACATGTGAAAGCCCATTAACCTTTCGAGGTACTTAGCCTCGTAAGTTCCCCCATGAATTAACACGAGGGCACTTTAGCACGTAGCCCGGAAAAAGGATTCCATCTATCCCAAGAACTGGGAACTGGTCAAGATGACAAGCTATGTGATTGGATGCCTGACACTTATGCATCGGAAGAACAGCCAGCTTGCCATGAGGTACCTTGAGGTAAGGTAGGTAGATTTGGGGATTCGGGGAAGGGTGTCAGCCGAACTGCGCGCCGCACGTTTGATTTTCTAATCATGTCTGCAATCTGAGGTGTGCTTTTCCTTAGTGCCTTTTGCCGAACCGAGGTCAGCAGCGCTTACTTGGACCTTCCGTCGATCCCTTCAACTTCAAGCCTTTGTCACCTCCAACTTATCTTAGCCCTCATCCATTCTCATATTATAGCTTCATCATCAAGACTAAATTACTTGTATACAATCCACATACAAGTTTTGGAGGTTCTTTCTGGTCATCTCCTGTTCGATCTGTCCCCAAGCATCCGTGTGTCAAAACAACATAACCAAACCTCAATCACATCTCATCTCACCAACACCCTCATCAACATCACCACCATCACCACCCACCCACACAAGATGGCCTCCCAAACCCCCCTCTTCACAATCCCCATCCCCAAACTCGACTCCCACGAAGGCGGCACCATAGTCTGCACAACCCCAGCACCCCAAGTCTACCTCCTAACCTGGTCCTCGCCCCCCGACAACCGCCTCACAACCCCCTTCTGCAAAGCCCTCCTCGCCGCCCTCGACATCATCGAGTTCGCCCACCCGCCCGGCGTCCTCGTCACAACCTCCGCCATCACGAAATTCTACTCCAACGGCCTCGACCTCGAACACGCCTTCGCGACCCCGCGCTTCTTCCCCGACACCCTGTACGCCCTCTTCAAACGCCTGCTGACCTACCCGATGCCCACCGTCGCCCTGATACCCGGCCACGCCTTCGCAGGCGGCTTCATGACGGCGATGCACCACGACTACCGCGTCATGAACCCGCAAAAGGGCTTCCTCTGCATGAACGAGCTCGAGTTCGGCGCGCCGTTGAAGCCCCCCATGTCCGCCATCTTCCGTATCAAATGCGCATCCCCCAAGATCTACCAGGACATCGTCCTCGAGGCAAAACGCTTTCCCGGCCCCGCGGCCCTCGAGGCCGGCCTCGTCGATGCACTCGGCGGGCTGGACGAGGCGCTGAAGCTGATTGCGGAGCGGAAGTTGACGGAGAGGGGCAAGAGCGGGGTGTATGCCGTTCTCAAGATGGAGATGTGGAAGGAGAGCGCGTATGTGCTCAGCAAAGAGAACTATGAGAGCGAGGAGAAGATCTGGGATCAGAGGGAGGAGCTGGAGAAGGAGAGAGTTGCGGCGGGGAAGAGGTTTGTGCAGGAGTGGAAGGCTGGCAAGGCCAAGTTGTAGGAGACGAGTACTAGATTTGGAAGTATCTGGTCGGATAAATACAGAAGTCGAGTACGATAGCCACGAATACTGCATGAAATCTAAACGCATTCATCATAGCACATCATTCATGTCCAACTTTCAATGCTCAAGAGATCGTGTATTGTGTTGTCAAAAGAAAAAAGAGACGCTATTTTGTGTGTCTTCCCAATCGGACAGAGGGGGTATCATGGACGTCCATTCAAACACCTGAAATGCATCACCGCTGCTCTCCATCTCTCACGTCTGCACGTCTTGCTCAATCGGCCTGGGCTCGCGGACATCCAAGCCCGGCTCCGCTGCCCCGTTCTCCTCTTGTCCAGTGCCGACGCCGTTACCATTCCCATTCGCCTTGTTCGCCTTCTTAGCCGCGTTCATCTCGTTTCTCTGCCTCACAATATCTTTCTCCGCCTGGATCGCCTTGTCGCGACGCGCCTCCACATCCTCGCGCTTCACCAGCTTTCTCAGAGCATCAGAAGCCTTGATCATGTTATCGATACTGATGGCGTGGTTCGTCATCTGGCGGTTGATGTAAGTATACACGCTCGCCGGCGTATCGCACTGCAGAAGCTGCGTCTCGTTGAGCTTGAGCAGGGCCAGCGCCACCTGGAACAGGAATGTGCTCCCGTCGTTCATGCAAAGCACCACATCCCAGACTCGGAACAAAGCCTCGGCGCAAAGGCAGTCGGTAAAGACGCTGAGGAACCACTGGAAGGTGAGCGCTTCGAGTTCGATGCTGAGGTCGTCTAGGTGTTGCGACAGCTTGGGTAGCACATCAACGACATACTGGCGCAACACCTGCTGGTCTGCGCGAGACGCAAGGAGACTGTGGTCGTAGTACCCAGAAGGCAGGATGTTTTCGATGATACTGGTCAGAATCCAAAACGCGTCCTCTGCCGATGGCATTATCAACAGCAAATTCGCCGCGATGAGGTTCATGCCCTGGCAGTAGCCGACCTCTGGGTTTCGGCGGGCGTAGGCTTTCAGCACCTCCTTAAGCTTGGACACGCCCGGCCCCTTGCGGAAGAAGATGTTGTCGGTCAGAGTACGGTTGATGTCCATATCGATCTGGGACACTGCTAGCGGGTCATCATCTTCGTCCGGTCGAGCGATGATATCTTGATAGTATCCGGGAACACGAAGCGTAGTGGCGCCGGAGCACTCAGACCAGACTTTGGCGCGCAAGTTGACTGGGATGCCACCGAGAACCAAGTT